AAAATGATAGAAGAAAAAAAAATACAGTAAAGAGAGGGAAGGAAATAGAGGGGGGAAAATGAGATAAGAGAGAGAAGTGGAAGAAGGGTAAATACATAATTTCACATCCTCAAATGCTTAGAAAACTTGTGTTTTGAGAGAGCAATTATAAAACTTAAAAGCTCGACAGAATGCCTATTCCCTCAAATTTCCCTTTAAAATTTAACACCATTCTAAAAAATTTAAATACTAAATTTATAATTTAATAAATATAAAAATATGCCAACGAAATATCACAACTATATAGACATAAAAGATATTTCTATCATATAGCGACAATATCGACGAAATATAAAACCACAACAACGTAAAAAGAAAAAAAAATTATATATATATTACGGGTTATTTAAAAAGTGTAAATATTTTTTTTCTCTAATTTAAATAACTTGAATAATCTCATCAAACACATCTAACAAAATCATATTTTCATTAATACTCTAGGTAATTTACATTTTGACATTATTTAAAACTTTGTTTAAAATTACATAGTACTTGAATTTTTCATGCTCAGTCAACATAAACTTAGCTAAGTAGTAATTGATACTGATTAAAATATCATGAGATTGAATATCCATCCCAATTATTGTATTAAAATAAATAAATAAAATAAAATTCTCCGTGGTACTCCCATTTTATTGTAAATCATGCCAAAGTATTTATGATATTTAGAAAAATATACTTCCACGTGTTTTAAATGTCCAATTTTGATTTAAATGAAAAGTTTGAGATTTGAAGGTGTCTTTCTACGTACCCAATTTGCTATTTTTCTTGTTAACAAAGATAAAAGCAAAGCCAAGGAAATTTGTAAGGTTTTTGGCAAAATGTCGTAAGAGCAATGGTCCGGAAGAGGTACACTCCAACTACTATAAAAGATTTTTACTGACTTTATATTTTATTCATTTTAATCGAAAAACTTTAAGCTTGACACACCAAGTTTATAAGTTCTTTGAATGATATTTGTTTTGAGATAGTGTTTTGTGTAATTAAGATCGAACAACGAATTTTGTAAGGTTGTAATAATTATTCATATAGTAGATTTTGTTTCGTGGGTCGTGATTTTTCTCCCGTCTGAAATTTTCCACGTAAATTTTGTGTTTTCCTTTTCGTCGTTGTTTCCTCTCGATTTCTAAATTATTTTTTATGCTTATTCGATATGATATTTTTTTCCATCAAAATTGTCCTATCTTTAATTTAAAAATTAAATAAAGAAGTTACGTTTTCTAAGTTTTCTTTTCAATTTGCTTATTTAAAATTCTAATATACTATGTATTAAAAAAAATTAGAATGTATACATATTTTCACTCCATGTTTAACATTCTGTTATATTTATTATTATTATTATTATTATTTTATTTTTTAGTATAACATGTTGGAAAGGGGATCCGAACTTACAACCTCTTGATGTATATGCCAATTATTGTTGAGTTATGCTCGCTTTGACTTATATTTATTACTTATATATATTTCAATAGAAAAAGATATTTATAAAGGATTTGTGCCTTGGCATAAAGTTCTCGATCCTAATGAGTTCTATACAATAGGTACAATCTTACGAACCGCTCCATCTTAATTTTATAAGATATTTTTCAAAGACTACTTTGGAAAAATGTCTCAAGCAAATTCTTATTTTCTTTGTTTTCACCCCTACTTGAATAAGTTAGTCAATGTAGACATGGAAATTATGTCCATATATAAAGTTTCATAACTTCCATGAGTCAATTATTGGGGTCCCTAAAAAGTTTATTTGGATAAGTCTTTGTCTTTGTCTATGACATGTATTTATTAAACTATACCTAATAATAAGCTTTTGTACTTTTCCTTTTAAGGGAAAAATACATATGCATTATTTTCTTTTTAAAGTTGGTTTCGATCAAACTTTTAATAATCTACATCGAGTTAATCAAGATTGAGTAGATTAGACCGATTGATGGAATGTTCCTAAAACGTAACTAAATTAAATTGATAAAATGTTTATTTTACCGTAATTATGACTTTTTTCTCTCATATATATTCATTTTTATTTTGTATAACTTATTAAAATCCTGACTCTCGATGGACACTTTTTTTTCTTATTAATAATATATGGGTGAGAATTCGAACATACCCTGAAACAAATGTTATGTTTCAATTAGTTAAACTATGTCCTGGTTGGCAAAAAGATAACATTTATTAATAACTCGTTGATGCATCGTTTAATATACGAGGCCATATTCTTAAATATAATTAATTGAAATTGCAATAAGATAGATATCTTATACCAAATAGTATTTATTAATTAGATTATTTTTATATGCAACAAATTTTTTTAAGGCTGATGTGAACATGTCTCAACTGACCTTTGAATTTTCTACAAATTTTAACTAAAAAACCTTTTCAAAATTAGCCTTTTGTTTTGTTGAAAATTTTAAAATTAGTCTTATTAGTTAAAAATTTTGACTTTGCATCTCTCATATATTTCTTTGGCCTTGATGTCCAAACTATCAAAGTCAATATTCCATAGCTAATTTCCAAAGTTGATTTGAACACGTCTTAGTAGAACAACGCTATAAAGTTTGACTTTTTTTTTTTAATGTTATATATATGTTTTATTTGATAGTATGATACGTAATAATTTACACCTACTTTATTCTAGTCTTTAAATATTTTATTAAATTTCATTGAGTATTTTTCTTTTTGAAGAAAAATTTCATTGAGTTATTGTCATTAACTTTTCATATGGCATTTGACAATAATTTTGAACCATTTAATTCCAAACATGTGGTTTAACGTTTTCGTCTTTGATAATATTTTACCATCTAATATTCACCTTTTTAACTTATATTCAACTTCAACATATATCATTTAATTACATGCATAGATACTCGAAGCTACGATATTGATATGTTAAAACAAAATTGAACTTAAGGACCAAAATGGTAATTTTTCTAAATGTAGGGATTAAATATAAATTTTAAAATTTTAGAAACCAAAATTGGTAAATCTGAAAGTATAGAAACTAAAACGTAATTTTGAAAGTTTGAGGACCAAAGTGAAACAAACCTTAAAGTTTAGGAACCAAAATGATATTTAAAGATAGGTTTAAAAACTACTTTGATCCGTGTACTTTTGGCTTTGTTTTATTTTAGTTAACGTGCTTTCAAAAAGTTCATTTTAGTCAAGGTACTTTCAACTTTTGTTTATTTGAGTACTTGTACTCTCAAAACGTTCGTTATGGTTCCTATATTTTTTAAAAGTGACAAATTTGGTCTTTGTATGCAAAATTTTAACGCGAATTTTATATATAATGGAAAACGTTCGATACAAATTTATAGCTACATTTCAATAAATATAACGAGTGACATGTCATGCTAAAATTACAATCGAAAGAAATGAGATAAAAATAAGAATGAAATTGTTATAGGGAGAAAAAAGGAATCCAGTGAAGCGAGAGAAGATCGGAGGAGAGCTAAGAGAGGGGGTCGGTACTCGGTGACCTAAGTCGGCCCCCCGGCGAGAACCCTAGAGACCCGACTCGACCGCGATGCATGCCGGCCCGAACCCATCGTGACCCGACTCTTGATCCGACGACAGGCCCATAACATGATACGCTGGTTCAGATAATTAGATTTTCTAGATGTATCAGGATTCGACTTCCATAATCCCTGTAGGGATCATAATTCAACTTTTATAAATAGGGAAGTAAGCCAAATCCTAAAGGTACGCTTAAATACCCTATTTTTTACTCTCGACTACTTCAATACTAACTTAAGCATCGGAGCCCATGTGGTAGGAGTCACACCAGTCTTAGGGTTATTTTGGTTTTGCAAGTCACGTCGATCCCTAAAATCCAAATTTCTGCGGCAACAGAAATGATCAAAATAGTCACTTTTAAAAAAATATAGGGACTAAAACAGGTATTTTGAAGCTTGGTGTTGAATCACGAAATCAACCAAGCGCGCGAACCTCGGCTCGGTACTGAAGGCTATTCGAAGGACGAACTAGAAACAGACTTGGACAGGTGACCTACAAAACATAATACACTTCAATACCAAAGTCAGTAGCTGGCCGAACTAAATTCGAGAGAGAATTTAGGATTCGCGTACCTTGGAATAGAGGAAATGAGTTCTATTTATAGAGGAAGTCTCCGACCGTGTTCCCACCAAGGCCTCAACGACTCTTTAAGGTAATCGTGAAATGCGGCGTGATGTCGTGGAGTATGTCGAAGAATGGATTGAGCCGAAGTGAAAGAACCGGAATGTCTTGGTCGGCTTTACTTGATTGAGATCGGCTTGGCCTAAAGAAACATGGCCGAGGTAAGGAAACTTTGGCTCCAGAAGAAGAAGCCACGTGTGCCTCTCCGGATCCAATTGTCGCATGCCTCATGTGAGTTGAGAAATCACCTCCAACATTTGGGACCTCAAGGAATATTAGGTATGGGGACATAAAGGCCAAAGGGCCATCGACTCCTGGGTAATCGAAAAAAAGGCGTTTTGAAAATACAAGGACTAAAATGAATAAAAGTTAAAAGTACATTGACCAAAATGAACGTTTTGGAAGTAGATATATCAAGATGAACCAAAACAGTGAAAAGAAATAAGTTAAAGTACTATTTTGGTCCCTTTATTTATAATTTGGTTTGATTTGATTCTTATACTTTCAAAATAACAATTAATTTATATTAAATGATTTATGTTACGGATAGAATTCATGTTAAAATTTTAAAAATAGGGATCAAAATAGTCACCTCTTGAAAGTACCAAAAAAAAAATATTTTTAAATTACATAGACTAAAATAAACAAAACAGTAAATATAGAAATAAAAATAAAACAAAACTAAAATTACAGGACAAAATAGTATTTTAATGAAATAAATGCTATAAAGCCCAATCCAATGGAAGAAGCCCAAAACATCAGGCTTGGGCCATTCCTTCATATATAAAATTATTTCATCACAAAAATGAAATTAAAAAATTTGACCCCAAACCGTTTAGGGAAGGGAACTCGATGCTCGCCGGGTTTCTTTACAGTTTTCGCCGTCGCCGATTTCCTGATCTGTTACCGCCAAACTAAAAACAAATACCCAACTCCTCCCGCCCTTAAACAAAATTTCAAAAAAACTTCACCAAATCCCAGATTTCCCCCTCATTCTCACCTTCTCCGCCCTCAATTTTGCCCTTCGATTCCCATTTTTCGCCTCCGTTCCTCTCCTTTCCTCTTGTTTTTCTGCATGGCGGCTCCGTCGCCGTCGGCCAGCAACAACAGCTCCGATACCGGCACCACCGCCACCGCCGCCACGGCTAACGTCGCTGTTTCGTCCAACCACTTGGCGAATCGTACAGGCACGCCGCCGAAGACCCTCCGTGGGCTCAACAAACCCAAGTGTAGGGTTTGTGGCAATGTTGCTCGTTCCAGGTTAAATTACTTCCTTTCCTGCCATATTTACTCCTTGTGACTTGAAATTTTAGTTTCTGATGCCTCTTCAAACCCTAGATTTGTTCTGTACGTGCATTCTGGTTGTTATGGTGCTTGCGATTATCGGCAATTTTTTTTTCTTTTTGTAGATTGATTTTTCGTTAGTTCTATGATAATGAGATGGTACTCGGAATATTTGATTTTTACTAAATTGAAACATTGCGCAGGTGTCCGTATGAGTCATGTAAGAGCTGCTGTGCGAGAAATCAAAACCCATGCTATATTCACGGTAAGAAGCTGATCTCTCTATTTGTTGTATTGGTATGTTTAGTTTTGCCGTGGTATGTCCATTATCCAACATTTCAATCAGTGCCAATTTGTCTCTCAACATTAAGTTGCACATATTATTCTTGTGTGTGTAGCCCGGAATCGCTATCTTCAACCCTGCCTTTTCTTAATAGAGATTTTTGAGAGAGGGGATTGTTTTAAGGGGAGGGGACATCCTTTGTAGCCTCATACAATTATGGTCTGGTGCCCTCCATGGGATCACTGAAGCTAGAAACTAAACTAGTGTTCCTCAGACCACAAGATGCACTTAGTGTTTTCAAAGGCTCTAATTTTAGGCGTAGAGACTGCTTGGTTTGTAAGAGGTTTACGTTCATATGTGCGCATACTAAGGCTTTAGGACTTTACGGCTTGTATGATGTTGAGAAGAATAACATCAGCTCTGATTGCATACTCTTCAAAATACAAAATCCCACTTATACATAGAGCATGGATTGTAATAAATCACCCATTACTACTTCTACTACCAAGACAAATTTAAGATCTAGGAGGAAAAAAGACACAAATAGGCCGATCCTATCAATATAGTGATGATGTTGAGAAGACATGAGACTTTATTTGAGGTTTATATCTTACCTTAGCTCTCCAAGAGAAAAAAGCCTTAAAGTTGCTGTTTGTAACCCCGGTTAGCGTAAATTTCCTTACTTTAATGAAATTGTCTCTCTGCTTCCATTTAAAAAACCCTTAAAATTGCTTTTAGCCTTCGAAAGCATTGAGCACTGTTTTCAATTTACTTTGAATACACTGTATACGGCCTCATTGGAGTGCCCTTCACACATGTTTTTGCAATACTCCCTCATTTCTTTTTAATTTAGATTGAGGCTTTTTGTTTAGTCACTCCCTCTTAGGCTTAGGGTTACCTCTCCCCCAAGGCATTTAGGTTGTTTTTGTTTATCTTTTTCCTTTTAATATATCTCTGTTTCCTATCAATAAAAGGAAAAAAAACATTAAGTACACTGTAAGATGACAAACTTTTTGCTTGCATAGAGGAAAGAGCTGCAAGACATTGCTTGATTTAAGTGATGAACATAATATGAAGTACAATTATATGTTGTAACTAGGAAATAAGAATTCATGATAAATAACTAAGAAATAAGAATTCATGATAAATAAAATGATGTATATGATTGAACATAAATATATTTGTATTTGAAGAGTTTACTTTGATGCCTACTTGTTTGTGTCTTCAGACTTCAATCGGTAATGAATTAGTCAAAAGTACTAAAAAATGAATAAGATTATTATTATTATTTTTATATAAGAAGCTTAGCTTTCATAGAACGTGAATCATATAAAAGAGCAGCCCAACAAAAGGAGGCCGAACCTGAAGGAAGGACCTCAAATTTAAAAGAATAATACCTAATTGATAATTAAAAAAATTCCTAAAAATAGAAGCCCATAAAGAGGTGTAAAATGAATACGCTAAAAGTTCTGTGATTTTTCTCAATCCAAATGCAAACAGGCCTGCCAAAGAAATCTTCCCTTCCCCTTGCAACAAAATCTCCTCCAACATTGACTTGCAATCTCTATTATGCACCAAAGAGACCCCTAAACGCTCTGAGAAATGACATCACAAAGAATGAAGGAACGACAGCTCTAGAGGAAATGATTAAGGTCTTCAGATGCATATGATGCACCCACCATTGAGGCCCTATGAACGAGCATTGGATGACCTTAATGTACGGGGTGAGAGTCAGATTGGAGAGAGAAAGAGGAACGGCTGGAAAACACTCCTGAAGGATTAGGAATCCATTAACGAACATACCTAGCCTAAGGGCAAAGAAAGAAGCCAACCTATGCATAAAGTTGAGAAGAAACATCATGCGCTTCCATATTGAACAAGGGAGACCCAAAGTAAAAGTTGTACCAGGTGTAAATTGTAGAGAAAGGGAGGACAGAAGCCACGAAGGTAAATTTTAAAGAAAAGAGATGATAAACACGAGGGGAGGAAAAAGGTAAAATGGAGTATCCCCCATCAATCCTCCCAAAAGCAGGCAACCAAGTTGGATTTAAAGCGTCTTGTACTAGGTGGATTTGAGTATAAAGCATCTTGTACCGAAGGTTTAATTTTTGCTCTTTCTAGAGTCGGAGATAAAGCGACTTGTGGTGCTAAGAAATGCAGGGGGCAGAAAAACTATTGTTCCAAACTAGGCTTGTTTTTCTCTCTTGAACACTGAATACAAAGACTTTATTTCGCGTATGACATATCTATAAATGAAGTCATTCTTTCAAAGAGAAAGAATCTGGATTGATTGGCCTGGACTCTCTTTCATTTAATGTTAATCTCAAGATCCTTCTTTCTCTCTCTATCTCTCTCTTTTCCCGAAGATAACCAGGATCTTTTAAACTGTGACAAAAAAGTTTTACGTAAGTTGTTTCTATTCTAAGAGTAGTGAAACGTGATTGTGAGTGGTTTCTGCGACAAAGCTCTCCTTTTTCAAAGTATCCTCAGGTGAAGTAGTCAGATTTTGGGAGGACTCTTGTATTGATTCTGCTCCTTTATCCACCACTTTCCTGGATCTGTTTGCTTTGTCCGCCAAAAAAGGTATGTCCATAGCAGATTGTTGGTATGCAGAGGCATCAACTGGAATTTGCGCTTTAGAAGGAATCTTTTTGAAAGGGAGTAGATAGGAAAATTTCACTGAAAAAATTGGATTAGTTATTGGGCATGGTAGGGATATTTTATGATGGAAGGCGGATCCCTCTGGTAGTTTTTCAGTCAACTTAGCCTTTGTGGCGCTCACGTCCCCTTCTCCCAGACTTAATTCGGCCACAGCAAATTTGATATGAAATTTTAAAGCTTCAAAGAAGATCAAATGCTTCATTTGGACTCTGTTCTACTGGGGAGTCAACACTACAGACAAACTACAGAGAAAACTCCCTCGCTGGACCCTTTCACCTTCTGTGTGCAGAATGTGTATGAGTAGTAATGAATGTGTGGACCACCTATTTCTACATTGCCCTTTTGTTTTAAAAGCTTGAGGGTTAATAGCTTCGCTGTTGGATTTCTCTTTTTGCATCCCTAGAAGGATTGAAGACTTTATTGCTGAAGGGTTCGGGGGTATGAAGCTTAAGGGCAAAGCTTGGGTTCAGTGGAATTGTGCGGCTCGGGCTCTACGTTGGTCTATTTGGAAGGAGAGGAATAGACAACTTTTTGAAGATAAGTTGATATTGTTAGATTCTTTTTGTGTGAATATTAAGCATCTTGTTTCTTGGTGGGCTTTACTACACAAGAAAGCTTTTTGCAACTACAATCTTCTTTTGCTTACACAAGATTGGAAAGCAGTGATTGTATAGAGCTTTGGGGAGGGTTTTCTCTACCCTCCGCCTTTTGGTTGTTGCCCCTTGAGGGAATTTGTGATTTGAATACACACCTTTTGTTCTTATCAAAGAAATAAAAAGTGAGTGGTTTCTGCAACCTGGATATATTACTCGACTCCCAGGAAGTTGGCAATTTGGTGGGTTCCATATTTTTTTTAATAAAGTAAAATAATCAAGAGCCATTGTAAAATGAAGCATAGATTTACAAGTAAAAATGGTCATTTTTTGTAAGTTCTATTCCACCATTTCTCTTATTGAAATATCGACATTTTCTAGGAGAAAAAATTGGTTCTGTGGGATACATTTTTGATATCTCTCAGATGCTCATGGAGTTACCATATAAATCAAGTATTTAGAATTTATCTTGAAAATTAAATACAGTCCAGGCATTTTGAACAGGAATATAAGTTTATGTTCATATTTTGTTGTTGACTAATCTGCACTTATGCCTGGTAGCTTGTTATGAGGTTCTGTAGGACTTGTGGTTTTGTTAGATTGAAAGCTTGGTATATGATTATGATATTTTTGATTTTATGGTGCAGTGCTAAAAGCAAATGCGACTTTTCCAGACAAGACGCCTACTTCTAGCTCTCCACTATTTGAGAAGCAATCAGCAGACCCATCATCATCTGGGTAAGTATGTGAGTTCTAGACACCATTTGATTTAATTTTATTATATCTATATTTTGTCCTGACATTGAGAAAGAATTTTGTTCAGGATACTGCTTTAGTCCTGCACCAATCGTGCATCTCTTATGTTATTTAAATATGTGAATGCTGTCATTCATATTCTTCAATCGTACATTTGTTAACATTGTTAGCTGAAGGTTGGAAGTTACTGACTTTAGACTTAAATCTTCTCATTGGACCATTGAAAATTGGGCTCTTCATGATATTATTGGTTTAAGACCGCGGAGGATTCCCTTCCCCTTTTTGACATTTATGTGAACTCAAAAGTTAATTGGATAATTTTCTTCCCCTGAGGATGATATCAGATTATTCTTGGGATCCAACTCTCGCTGTAGCCTACAATCCAATATATACTTCTAATACCATGACAATCATGTTTAATTAGGCTACCATTATCAGAGTCTTAATATTCTAAGTTTCACACTTCAGAACTATATTTAGGCTTCTTGCTCTACATGTTGAGAGTTTCCTTTTCGATGGTTGTGCTTCAGGACTTCGCTTAGAGTAGCTTCACTTCGTCAACTTTCAAACAACTTTTCCCAATTCAACAGTGTGCAAATCCCACTCCGTTCAAGGAAGCCATTGACTCGAAAGGTGCTCATAATTGTCAATTTATCTTCTGCTATGTAGTTATTGCACTCAAGTAGAATGCCTTGTTCTAATTTAAGAAGGTTTTTAGGATGCCGCTGCAATTAATGAATGGAGATTTTCAAAGTTAAGGGAATTCCGGGAGAGACATATTGAAGCCGGAAATGAAGCTTTTGATCGATACATGCAGAACGTTAATCTATTGGAGGAGGTATTTTCCATGAAATCTATGATTGATGGATCTATTAAGGACGGACCCTCTGTAAACTCTTCTGCAGAAGCCAACACCGAGGAAATGGTATCTGGATTGAAGTTAAAGATAGGATCAGATCCAATTAGATCAGATAACTCCAGAAAGAGGATACAGCAAATTGTCGAGGATGGACTAAGGAAACTTAAAAAAGTCAAGGTTACCGATAAAGTTGATGAGGTGACCGACCAAGCTGAACCTGATAAAGTTGCTGATCAAACAGATCTCAATGACGGGTGCAAAACAGCAAAAGGTTGGCCTGCCAAAAGAGCTATAGCCTTAGGTGATCTCATTGACAAGTTAAACAAAGCCAGGAATGAGGAGGATCTAAAATCTTGCTTGGCAATGAAACATCAGCTTTTTAACCCGCACCTAACATCCAGTCAAGCAGAATCTGAAGAGATTGACATGTCCAAGGAGCAAGTTGTAAAGAAAGATTTAGAATCAAGGAAAGAATTGGGTTACTCACTGCCTAAGTTGATTAATAAAACTAATATCGATCAAGAAACTCTGAACCGAATTGATGCCCACTTTTCTTCCCTCAAGCAGATAGACAATCTATGATTTGGTGCAGATTTTGCCATTTTTTCTATTGGCTTTAGGCTAAAGGAGGCTCCAAACATAATGCTGTTATGTCCATGTATAATTTATTCTCAACAGCCATTGATGTTTATATGGCAATAGCATTAAATGTGCATTATCCTTCCACAAACTCTACACCTGTTTATTTGATCTATCTTATTTGTGATGTGCTACAAAATGAGCAGGATGGACCATGAACTCTTAACTTGTGCTTGAGACTAGGATTGGCATTTGGGGGTGTTTTCAGGGAAAGATCTACTAGAAGGTTGTGAAAAGGATGTTGAGAGGAAAAAGTTTCCAACATGGGCTGTCTTTTTTGGGCCAGAAGATTGCAAATAAATGGGCCTAAAAAGTAGTAGTTGAACTTTCTTTTCTAAAGTTATAATTGCAGGGAAAAATCAAGCTGGATGTTGGAACATGTTGTCTTCTTGAACAGGATATATTGCCTTTTTGCACAAGTCAGAAAATGAGGTAGTTCAGATGCCTCATGGAAAAGGTAATTCCCTCTGCTTTCTTTTCTTTTTTTCCTCCACTAACAATATCTGCCTAGTGTTGCCTCATTCCAATTGCTAAAGATAAACAATTGAAACCAGTAACTCTCTTCATAATGGGGACAGCCAAACACAACAATATCTCTCTTATTATTTCTCTTTGAATCAAAGTCATTTGCTTCAGATGGGTTGCTTCCTTCCACATTCCCTCCACCAGCCAACCAACCAAGACCCATAAAACACTGATCTTATTATGACAAAGAATTCCATCTGAAAGCTTTTCATTTGGAGTTTCTTAATGGGATGTGCCTTTTTCTTTGCTTTATTCTTCAAAATCTATATCTTATGCATATAATTACAGGTCTCAACCCGAGGACAACTTTGGTAGTGGCTATCAAACTTTTATAACCCATTTTTTTCTCTCCTTGGAACAAAAAGCTGTCAAATGCTTTCAATTTCAATGGCTCTGCTCATCTCAACATCTTTCTTTTTCAGAAGCCATTTTGCATTTTTATCAACCCCATTATCATGGCATTATATGATTCTATATTTATGTGTGATGATTTAGATCATTACCACAAAATAAAAAAAAAACTTCTTCAGAAAATTATTATTCATTATGAATAAGTCAAGGAAATGGGACAACCACAATGAAATTTATATGAATTATTAACTCTTTTAAAGGTTTCTTTCTCACATGCTTTCCTTTTGCTGCAACCTAATCTCTCTTTGCTTTTAAATGCTTTGCCATAATTATGTTGGACTAGAGGCTACTAATGATACATACACAATCCCACATAAAAGATATATTTGTGTATTATATAAAATTTTGGTTAAATTTCAAGTTTAATATGGAATTCCAAGATTGTGGCCATTTAGTTCCTTTACTAATGAACTTTCAATTTCATGTTTAATAGATTTTGCTATTAATTCTATCAATTTAATGCTTTTATGACATCCCGATTATATCTTTAACAGGTTACATGGCTGATTGATTTTGAGCAGGTTGAGACTTTTAAGGGAGTTAATATTAGATACAAAATTGAATTCATCTATTAGATGGAACCTAAAAGTTTAGAAACCAAAGCTTTAACTTGGTTCGTTGAGAAGTCAAAAATTTGTAGGGAAGTGTGCGTGTTTGTCCAGCAAATATCCAGGCAGGAATCAGAGTTTGTGCATGATTGTGTGATTGTACTACTAGTGTTTCTGATTGATGCCATTTCCACTGCCACTGGCTGATGGTTTATTAATTTCAGGCTTCATTACAAAATATTTTCTTTTGAATCATGTTGGCTTTGTGGAGCACCCATATGCCCCCACATGGCCTTTGCACACTGCTCCAAGTTTTTTGTATTATTTTTTATTTTTTGAGGTTTAGAATGCTACTGGGTCAAGTTGGTTTGGTGAACCAAACTTATATGCTTGGATTGACTTGATTTGGTTATTTACAAGGCAATGTACTTAAATTCATTCCTTTTATAGCTCATCGATGCTTCAAACAACTAGGGTAATAGATGTAATGGAATGGACGAGATGAAACTTAGAAGAAAACTACAGAGAATGGAACATAACGAGGACATAGGTTGCTAGTTTTCGGAGCTTCATGGAGAACTTAATTAACATGGAGATTATGGTTATCAAAGAGTGGAAAGACTAATTGAAATGAAGTTTTACGTTTATGATTGAGTAGTTGATTGTGTCATACTCTACCAACGTTTTGTGCCTAAACTCACCGACGAATACCAATTTCGTCTCTAAAGATTACCTTTTCTAACATTTGATCTTGTGTTAAACACAATTTGGTGCCTAAACTCACTGCGGATGAATACCAATTTGGTCTCTGAAAAAGTATCTTTTCCAACATTTGATCATCTGTCTCAAGAAAGGTTAAGATATTTTGCAAATTTCATTCGGCACCATTTTTCACAAACTTTTTGCCAAATAAATTTGAAATCTTGTTGAAAAAGACTATCTCATGTGAAAACATTATTTTGTTGAGAACGATAAGAAAAATGTTTCGTTGGGAAAAAGTTCACTTAAAATCATTTTTCTTTTGTCGGGTGAGAATTCATACTAAACTAGTTGTTTATGTTTTCTTTTTCACATTGTTAATCACATTAATAATTTCAAATGTTTGTATATCATCCAAAAGATTACCACATATGTTACATGAGGTTCAATCTTTTATCTGTATATTTGTTATATTAAAAGAAAAAAACTTACCAGCTATAATTAATCAGGATTTTAATTCTTGAACCTAATTTTAATTATATGATCGAGTCAAAGTTAATATATATATATATATATATATATATATATATATATTTTTGATAAATAAGTCAAAGTTATATTAAAGAATACAAACATGAATAACCGATGACAATGCCACTAATTTCTTACTATAATTATTTTATAATACCAACAATTCAATTAAAATTCTACTCTTACCTTCATCATAGATAAGCCTGTGAATTGACAAATTAGGTTAGGCAAATCTTAGCAAAGCATGATATTGACAAAAATTTATAACTCAAAAGAAGATTATTAGCAATTCAGATGGTCCCTACCCCCAAATGCTTCAAATTTTGCCCTAAAAACCTGCAATTATTCCTCTCCATACAAGTGTTTGTAAATGTATGATTAATATTAATTATTTCTTATCCTTAGAATACTGAAGACAATTTTTTAGTTACATATATAAATGCTTCATTGACAAGGCATGTATGGCATCTCTATTAATTAATTGGAGGAGGATTATTAGGTTAAGAGAGGTAGGTGGAATTAGGACGATGGGATTAGCTTCATTTTAAGAAATTGGTTCCAAATTTGCAAATGTCTTGAATTGGATCAAACAAAAATTTTTCAGAAAAAAAGTTTGAATTCCTCCAACTTTTCTAAACTAGTCGTACCATGTAAGCTTATCCTAAGCTGCATTTAACATCCATTGAACATAAAAGACTATTGAAAAATATTAAAATATAAACCACTAAATTTAAAACTTTTCAATAATAGAACTAAATATAATATAAAATTTTTTTAAACATGAGATGGTAACTTTGCAATTGTTTCTTATTTTATATCTTTCTCAACCTTTTTGATGTAAGTGTAGCATTTGAATCTTATCAGCTTAGGTCAAAAGGTGTAATTTTCAAGGGTGATTTTGATTTTGATGGGATTTCCACTCTTCTTTTATACACAAAAAAAAAAAAAAAAGGCTTATCTTCACAACTTTTTCTCCTAATATTGCTTCTTTTTGGTGGGTTTCTTTGATCATCTCAAATTATTTAATTGAAGGAAGTGCACATTATATTAGAGGGTTTGGTGACTTTTTCTTTTTGATGTTTTGGTAAAGTTTAGATTTTCAAACCTTGAGAAGTAGATAATAATTGATGTAATGTTTACAAGTACTCACATATAATATATATATATATATATATATATATATATAAATCAAGATAATGACTTGTAATCTTTTTTTATTTAAACCTTTGGTGTGAAGATTAGAGTATTAAATTTTTGTCTCGATACTTTTATATTTATGAATTCGTATCAATGTAAATATTAATCGACATTTCTGTAGTAGCGTTAAAAAACGGACAAAATATTAATTACAAAAATATCTACAAAATGTCACTAACATGGTCATAATATTAATAATTAACCAATTTTAACTTATTTGAAATGTGTGTTAGGTTTAATTTAGATATGTTTTTTATAATTTTTTTTAAGAAATATATATCGATTTCGACCTTTTATCAATATTTTCATCGATATTTCCATAAAATTGAGATCTCGACGTCAACCATTTAAAACTCTGTCAAAGATTAAAAAAGGGATTTTTAAATGGATGTTTCTCTAGAATTCCTTTTTTTTTTAATCATCCAATTATACACATACACACAGATTTATATGTGTTAAATTAATCAGTATTTTTCTCTCAATTTTATTCTCAATTTGTTTTCTTTCTGATGTCACGGTGTTGCATTTTCTAAAGCCAACCTTGAAGAATCTAGATAGTAGATTTGATGATCCTCTTCTATATTCAATTTTTTAACATTTTATAAATAGTAATGACCTTTTTTTTTTTCATCACGAAATTTATTTTGTTTTATTTTTTAATTTTAATGAAGAAATTAGTGGGGTAGGAAATTTTAATCATGGATGGAGACTTTTTATTAGCTAGAATTTGTGAGTTGAGACATCATTTACTAGTAGTTATGATTTAGAAAGAGTATTTATGCATATTATTATTATATAATTATAACTAGATATATAAAGTTTATTGAATGCATGTCTTGATAACACAAGTTTAGCTCATTTTTATATTTGTGAGTGTCTGAGCTAGGATCAATTTTTTTTAGTACAACATGTGGGGGTGGGGATTCGAACTCATGACCCTTTGGTCAGAGATAGGAGCCTTAATCATTTGAGCTATACTCGGTTTGACAACTTAAAAGAATCATTGATGTGAAAGGGTGAGAAACCAAATTAGAAACTTTTTTTTTATTTGACACACTTGGTATAAAAGATAAATATGAAAAAAAACTCTTAAATTATATAGCAGAAAACCTGAACAGAACTGGTTAAGACATACATCAACGACTAAAAGGTTCGTGGGTCCGAAAACCCACCCACATAT